CTTCAGAATTCTTTGGGTAATGTTAGGTTAACATCAAGAGAGGACTGTCAAAACTACTTGTCGCATTTTCTTTGATCAAAAATCCCAAGATTTCTACAGCTACGGGATTATGTCAGTACCTACAATATGGTAACAAGTTATCGAACACAATAAATGTAATTAAACTGGTAAAAAAAAGTCTTGAATTTGTATATAAGCTACGAAGAAACTTTTTCCCCCACCTTATATTGAACAATGTTTTAAGAATTATTGTAATATGTGTTAAATACATTATTTTGAAACCAAATTTACCTACACGTAATGCACCATGGGCAGTAGCGTCTTCCTAATAACAACTAAAAATAATAAATTGTGGCTGTCAAGCGTGGTAACTTTAGCAAATATTCCACTATAAGGCAATCTATGGGAGAAGTCTGTGTTCATCAGTGGACTTTTAACAGGTTGTAATGGAATGCGCCTATCACATTACCTCACTATGTCTAGGGTTGACCGGGAGAGAATGCCTAAAGACATTAAATCCGAATTTTGTAAGCCTTTCGAAAAAAAGTGAACAATACGGGTTTTAAAAACACAAATCGACCTCACTTGCCATGTTTTCTTTACTAAAAACAATACTTAGTTACATAAACAATAGACAATTGACAACAGGATTCACATGATATATTATTGCAAAAATCAGAGACAGTTGGGATCAGAGGACTAGTCCTTCAGTGGTTATCGTCATATTTAAATGGCAGACAGCAATGTGTTATCATTGATAAAATAGATAAAAACAATAACTTGACATCTTATTCATCTGGATATAAATATAATAAATTCGGTGTTCCGCAAGAAAGTATATTAGGACCGATTCTTTTCCTATTATATATTAATGACATTGTTGACATTACGAATCATATATACGCTGATGACATTTCAATTATTGTGACATGAAATAAAAATAATAATACAATTAGAAATCATCAAGATGACATTAATAATACAATTGACACACTAATAGAATGGCTTGATATAAATCATTTGAAAATTAATCTAGATAAATCCCATTATATACAATTTAATAAATCTATCAATTCCAATCATAATATGAAATTTAATATACCAAAACTAAAAGAGGCTACATGTACAAAATTTCTGGGAATAACGTTAGATGAAGATATAAACTGGAAAGAACAAATAGATAACGTATGCAGTAGAATTAATAAGTTTGTATATGTCCTTAAACAAGTCAAAAACATTACAAATATTAAAATGGCAATTGCAACGTACCACACATACGTAGAGTCTATTTTACGCTATTGACTTACAATATGGGGTAATAGTACTGACCGAAATAGTGCATTCGTTGCCCAAAAAAATGTATTCGTGCAATATGCGGGATATCACCAGGAGAATCCTGTAGACCGCTATTTAAAAGACTTGGTATATTACCCCTCCCGTCACTATACATTTATTTATTAATTATTCATTATTCAGGTAATTACACCCACTTTGTTAGTACACTTAAAACTAGGGGTTAGTAAATGTACAGAATACAAATTAATATACGTTACCAAAATTATCATTTATTGTTAAACATATTGGGCCTGGAACCTATATGCACTGTATTCCAGTGCCTCATCACAGGGCAATCTTGCCTTCCATATATGGAAGCTAGGAGGCTGTTAGTGCTGTCTCGCACGCGACGCATCAGGGAGGCTATTCTTTTGCGCAATATGATATATATAAAATATAAACATGCGTGATGCGCTGCAAAAGCGTGGCAGCCCCAACATTCATGAGTCCATTGTTGTATTGAATACGCAGCGCATTAAGAGTTCGGCGGGTACACTTTGCCCACAGACTGCACTGCTTATGAAGCTGGCTTGTTTGTTTTGAAAAATAAGTCATTATTTGTTAAAGCAAGTGATATATATCCTCGAAACCGACGTGACCCAGAAAACTTGTCCTAGATTTTATTCCTAGGCTCGTTAAATATAGCAAAAGCTGCCTAAATATGTTTGTAAAAATATATAATAAAATACCCAAAGAATTTAAATTATTAAGCGAAAGACTATATAAGAAACATTTGTATGATTGGTTAAAAATTGAATGCTTTTATGACTTAAAAGATTATTTAGATTTAAATAATTATTAATATTGTCTAAACATTTTAGAATTATAATTTGCATGCTATTATTAGCGAAACACGACTGCACTATATAAATTGTAACATCTTTTTATACCGTGATTCTTGCAAATAAAGATTTATGATTTATGGTTATGATTTCCTTAAGGTATAAACAATGAAGTTTACCTAAATAATTATATTTTTTCATAACGATTCCTGTAATCGGTTTATTTATATGTAATTAACATAAATAATAAAAAATAAAAAGAGACTACAATATGGCGGACTTTTAATCGCTTTCCCGCGCTCGTATCCACGGCCGCGGCGCCTCACCGCTGTATTTATCGCCAGGAATAATAAATGCGAGTTTTCCCGCCGATAATGGAGCCGTGTTTTAAAACCACCTGGTCGTTAATGTTGGTAACTGACATCTACGCCTCGCTGTGTCAAGTTCGTGGGTTCCTTTAACTTTGAGCTAAGTTGTTTGAGAAAATTATGAAAAAGAAAATTTACATATTTTTTAAAATATTTTACCACGTTTTTATTAACTCTCTTTCGTGTATGCCTGTTCGGGTAGAATAGTAATTGATATTAAACTAACTTCCCGATGAGTTGGAGACTTGAAATTTTAAACATAGCTCAGAATTGGATGACAATGTATGATATGAAAAAAGTGGTACAGCTATATTTAAAAAAAATACATTTTTTTTCTCTCGTTAATAATATTATGTTATTCTCATTATTCGAGAACACACTCCATATATACACCTGCATCTATCATAGATTAAGAATCTAAATACAAATGCGTTGTTAACCCCAAGGACTAATAAAGAATGCCTCGTTACCAGTAAAAAGGGTCTTCGGTTTTCTATACTCACCAAACGAAACAGCAGCATTAAGCTGCTGGTATTATGTGGGAGTGTGGTCCTTCCCCGTTCGAGACGCGCGTTGGTGCTGCAGCCTTAATACAGCTGCAACGTGGCTCTGCCACGTAAATACAGTAGATGTTTTGTTACGTATCAAAATCTGATAGTGGTGCGATTTTATGTATTTAATATCTGCGCGATCGAATTGTTAATGAAAATTACGAAACAAGTGCTCCGATACTGATACAAATATACAAACTTATGTTATTTTATCCGCTTCTTGAGATACTGTCGTCATCGATTGTCCGCTGGTTTAAGCTTTGCAAGCAACTACGCAGGTCTAGAAAGACCAATATCAATGCGACCTATAAGATCTATTGTGATCGCTGCTATGGCTATAGTTCACTGCTAAGCCCTATGCCTTCAATGAATTGAAGGAGTCGCTTAGCTGTGAGCTATCTCACTTCTTCTGGGCTAAGTACATTGTTTCCCATATGAATTTTACGCTTGCGTATTAAGGGTTCACAATCATTTAGGATGTGCAGAGGTGTTACTTCCCGTAAGGAACAGAATTGGCACATTCTTGAGTTGCTTAGTCTTAGGATGGACATGTGTTTTTTTAGACAACAGAGAGAGGCCAGTTAGGGCTCTTACAAGAATACGCAGTTTCATCATACATCGTTACAACCGGTGCGTGTTTTCGCATAGAATAGTATGATGGAATGGACTACATCAACCCATACACAAACCGTTTATTACAAGCTGTAACCATACACAATAAAGACCGCGGAGTTTCCGTTGGAAGCTGCGAGATTTTTCTTGTAATAACCACCGTCGATCTAAACTCGAGATTCACTTAATCTTTGAGTCAGTAATTCCTTCATGGGACACATTGTCCATGTTATACACTTTTACAACAAAGTCCCAGAGTGCAAACTTTTATCAATCAAAAGGTTAAAAATATGTATTAAGCAAAAATATTCTAGTAAGGGTAGTAGTATTATACTACTAAAGAGTACACAACTGATGATATCCCTGGGAATGAGGTGATCGCTACCATGCTGTTTCTAAATGTTTTCATAACAATTGTATAAAATATTATATTGTATCTCAGGATAGAGGTATTTTTCAAACCAGTGATAAAAGTAAAAAATGACTTTCAATAACTCTTCTTGTAATCTATATTGAATAAAAATTATTCTATTCTATTTGCATAAAGCTTACATACCCTTTTTTTACATGGGGAAATGCCTACGCATACCCGCCTCGCGGAGGCAGGGACGGATTATGTCGGACTCGCACAGACTAAAACCCCATGGTGTTCCACCTTCGGCGCATTGGCATTTGCAGGCATTGGCAGGGCAACGGAAACGCCCCATGGCAGCCCCTTCTCGGGGGAGGACCTCTCCTCCCCATTCTCCTTCTCAGGCAAAGAGCACCAGGAACACAAGGCACGCCCCCCTCCACGGCCTCCAACCCACCTGCGTATCGGACCCCCCCCCCGCGACTCCACCACCACCGCATTAACGGTGCGGCCCCGTCAGAGTCGCGGAGGATAGGGCGAGTGGCGCATCGCCATACCAACACTCCTCTTTCTCCGCATCTCCACCTCGGCTGCAGCGGTAAGGGGAGAGGACACCCCTCCCACCGCAGCCCACCGACACATCCGAAGTAGGCTCGCCAAGCCCACTCGGAGTGGCCACCTCGGGCCGGCCCTACACCACGGGCCAGCCAAGGGGTTCATCTTTGTTCACCGCGGGTTTTTTATTAGTGATCGATGACCGCGGGTGACCAAGCCACGGTTACTAAGCCCCCCCGCCACGACAAGGCGTCTCTTTGCTTACACCGGCCTTCTCTCGTTATTCAGAGTTTTGGTACATGGATTCTACCACTGCGCTTTTGCGCATTTTTTTATATTCCCGGAATTGATTTTGCGTTTTTCTTTAGCGTGGAACACATGGAAAATTCCTCCCTCCCATCTTGTTTTAAATTATGGTGATAAAAATATGTTTTATTATTTTCAGGAGCTACTCACTGGACGAACGGTTCCTGTACTCGCAGGGTGAAGTCCGAAGAGTTCAATGGCATCCCACCTCATTGTCACATATGCTGGTGTTGCTCTCCGATAATACAATTAGGTAAGAATAAAACAAATAGTCAACCATCAAGTTCGCAAGCTATATTTATACTCACAGCTGTATACCTATATGTGTATTTCAAATATTTGTCCATTAAATTTACGAGAAGTATCAAAATTTTTACATTGCGTGCGACAGCAAATTGAGCTCTGCTCAGCAAACACACAGCTACTCGTATGTCATATTTGTAGTTAAATTAGTGCAATAACAGGAGATTTAATCTAGCCAGTCCATCGAATAGATCCTCCACGTGGACGACGCTTATAGTCCTTGTTACGCCACGACTTTCCTTTTTATCGTAGCTTATCTATAACTTCTTTTAAAGTCTATGATTTCACCATCCTCATTCTATTAACATATTTAAAATATGGATACAATTCTTCGCCGCGACATCTTGACGTTCGATGTATTGCCTATTTCAAAAATTAAAATTAAATTGCATGCCTGCTTAAGGAGAACCGATGTCTAGGGAATTAAATCTAACTCACAAGATTTCTTCACGAACAATTTGTTTTTTGAAGAAAAAAGATTTTTGAAGGTTATATTTATTGTATAAATTTCAGACTTTACAACATAGCCCTAAAAAACGGTCCGAAACTCGTCAAAATAATCACAATCGGGCAGAAGCCATCCAGCCAGCTAGCCGGGAAGACGATCCTGGACAGTCTCGGGGACACTGCGGTGGATTTCACGCCCATTCCCGATTCGGAATCCCTGCTCATCCTGAGGGGAGACGGGGAGGTATATATGATAGAATGCACTTTGGATACAAAAAGGTGAGTGAGAAAGATAGTTAAGAATTTTCCTAAAATTTTAATATATACTTGAATTGTATGTTGAATAATTTACAATACTCGTAATGGCCCTATGTCCTATATCCAGCATTTCAGCCCATGTCCAGCATGACATCTCCCATGTGAAGAGGATTTGCCGTTATCGTCACATATGGCAGACGTATTGACGATCACAGATCAAACGTCTCGCACCTTTGACGCTGTTGCCCGTCGCCGGTCTGGGTATTTTACCACTAGCGCAAAAAAAATCGCCATTTCCACCACCAGAAACCACAATATCTTTCTAATATATCCCATAATCGCCTCTTACGACGCCCACGGGACGAAATAGAGTGACGGAAACTTTTTACCTGCCTCTGTACGCATCATCATCATCATCATCATTACAGCCCTTCACAAGTCCATTGCTGAACATAGGCTTCGTCCCAAGGAAAAATAAAGTAAAATTTTGTAGAAATTTTATTTTATCTTTTAAATTTTGTTTCATTAGATTAATCAATAAGTATGTAAATTTTGTTTTATTCAATAGAAGAAAAAAATAGAATAATATGCTTGATGTCAAAGTTCTTTCCTTTTTAGCCTGAATTAACTTTCGACTTTCGACTTAACGAGCACACAGTCCACCTGATTGTAAGTGGATGCTGTGGCCCATAGACACCTATATCGATATATCTTCAATTAGGAATCAAAATCCAGATGCGTTGCTATCCCTGAGAACTAAGAAGAAATTCATCGTTACTAGTAAAAAAGTTGTTCTTTTCTTGTCACTCACCATACGAAACACAGCAGCATTGTGTTGCTATTTTACACTGGTATTATGTGCGCAGTCTTTCCCCGGTCGAGCCGCCCCGTTTGTGTTAAATCCATCATACAACTGCATCATGGCTCTACCATATTAAAGACCCTATGAGTCATTCCATTTCAATCCTCAGGGAAGACGCACCTTTGTGTTTTTTCATCATGATTATTATTACAATCCTTAACAAGTCGACAGCTGAACATACGCCTCGTCTAAGCAATGACACAAAGCACGGTTTTAAGCCACTTGCACCACTTCTTCATCTCTTACCAGGTCACTCCATCTAGTGAGTGGCCTTCCTATCGGTGTCCTTTTCAATGCTATGAAATTCTATTTACTAAAACACAATTACATAATCAGTATTTGTTAAACGACACAAGCCACATAATTCGACGCTCCGACAGAATATCAGCGCTACGGTAACTCTGTTACTGTAATGTCCTCCAGATTGAATTCCGGTCACGGCGGCATGTCTCAACGGAGCCATCTCAACTCAGCTATCTGCGCAGGACAGGATTATAGTGCCCGAGTGTATGCGCAAGCATAGGTGCACTCTCTATTTCCTCACTCTCATAGTCCTCATCATCATCATCATCATTTTCATTAGCCCTTCACAAGTCCTCTGCTGAACACAGGCCTCCCCCAAGGAATGCCACAAAGTACGGTCCTGAGCCACCGGCATCCATCGACTTCCTGCATATCTTACCAGGTCGTCACTCCATCTAGTGTAGGGACACCATACACTTCGTCCGCTGGTACGAGGCCGACACTCGGTTGGGCTATGTCGGTTAATCTGGTTCTACTGCTTATATCCTCATTTCTAAGCTTATCACGCAGAGAAACTCCGAGCATAGCCCTCTCAAAAGCTCGCTGAGCGACCTTGAGCTTCCTCATCCGGCCAGCAGTGAAGGACCACATCTCAGTTCCATAGGTCATCACTGGCTACACGCACTGGTTGTACAGTCTCGTTTTCAAGTTTTGAGGTATACCTGACGAGAAGATGTGCCGTAGTTTCCCGAACGCTGTCCAACCGAGTTGAATCCGTCGATTGACCTCTCAGTCGAAGTTGGACTTACCTAGTCGGAATAGTCCTATGGGACGGAAATCCGACTCGACCGGAGAGAGATCAGGCGCAGGACCAACGGCTTTATTTGCTGTCCGAGGCACGCGGGTGAAGTACCGCTAACTTCCTGACTTCGGGCTGCTGCTGAGAATTTCTTGACAGAAAAACCCAGTAACTGATTTTTGTCTCGACCCGGGATTCGAACCCGGGACCTCATGATCAGCAATCCCAACGAGACAGTCTGTTATTGTAGCATTATGTCTTCTATTCATTATTTTTCCTAATATTCTGTTAACTATTTCGATGTTCTGCAAGTTGCAGCAATAAATTAAATATGTACGTTCTTTATTTATTTAAACAATTTCAGCCCCCTCCAACCGAAACTGTTCGGCCCGCTTCCGATCTACCCCCCAGCGGACGACAATTACGGATCCGAATCGTGCTCGATCTGCGTGTTGGGAGGTGGCGACACTTTGGTGGTGGTGATCGCCACATGCTCCGCCGCTTTGTACCACTGCGTACTTCTGCCCGCTGTAAGTCTTCATTTTGAAGTGAACACTACTTTAGAATCGTTGTAATTTGAAACACGATGAAACGAAAAAGCGACACTAAAAGAGGCAAACATATACATATATAGGATTTAACCTGCGAGACAATAACAAAGAATATAGACTTTTTTTAAATGTTACCTCTACACTAGGATTTTCTACTGTATCCTGGAGGCAGTTTAAATACATAAATTGCAGAAGGACAAACATCCAAACCCAGAACAATTATTAGTAGGCCATGCAAATACTCGATCTGTGCGGGGTTCGAACTTAATGCCAAGCAACTGCGCCACGGACCTGCAAAAAATTAGTTTCGATCAATGTGAAATGTTATCGTGACTTTATTTTAATAACGTAATTATTTTTACTTTGAAAATAGTTTCGGTGAGTTTCTTGCTGGTTTTTTTTTATAGAATCAGGGTGACGAGTAAGCACACAGTCCACCACATGGCAATAAAGTGGATAGTGTGGCCCATAGACATTTACATATATGCAGATTACCCCTGATGACTAAGATGGAATGTCTCGTTTCCAGTAAAAAGGCTCTCCGCTTCTCTACACTCACCATAGGAAATATATTATTCTGCTGTTTTACGCTAGTGTTCTGTGTGAATTCTACCACTTAAATGTTACTTTCGGGACATAGGTTTTTTCCGAACCAGTGATAAAAGGACAAATAGTGAAAAAGTGGTAAAAGTAAAATACTTTCAATAAGAATTACTTAAGTATTATAATCTATATTGAATAAAAAATATTCTGTTCTGTTCCATTCCAAATATGGTGTTTGCGTAAAAATAATAAGTTATTACCACAGAAAAACCGTTTTAAAATATAAGAAGTCTACCAAAGAAAAACTCTCTTAAAATATAACAACACGTTACCCAGGAAAACCTTTTTAAAAATATAAGAAGTTATTACCACAGTATAACCCTATTAAAAATATAAGAAGTCATTGATCTTTTAAAATATAAGAAGTCTACCACAGGAAATCTCTATTAAAAATATAACAAGTCATTACCACAGAAAATCTCTATCAAAAAAAACAAGTCATTACTACAGGAAACCCCTATTAAAAAAAATCTCATTAACACCGAAAAAAAAAATCTCATTAACACCGAAAAATCCTTTTAATATATAACTTACAGGTGACCTACATACACACACACACACACACACACACACACACACACACACACACACACACACACACACACACACACACACACACACACGCACGCACACACGCACGCACGCACGCACACACACACACACACACACACACACACACACACACACACATACACACACACAACAAACACATACACACACACACACACACACACACACATATATATATACACAATAACTAACCCACATTTCTATAATTCTAAGCTTTATAAGACTTTGAAAATAAAGGAATTTTTATTTATTTATATAATAAGTCCTTACCACATATAAACCCTATTAAAAACCCTATTGTTATTTCCAGCCGTCCGACAATGAGAACGACGACGGCTACGCATTGTACGTAATCGAGTCGGTGGAGCTCAACGTTGTTCTGAACCCGGACGACCTTGGGCTACAACAATCTTATCCCGTTCACCTCTACCCGGTAAGTATTAATTAACTTTAGGTATTGTAGTTAAGGCACCAAGCTACGACTCTGCTGGTCCTGGAATCGAAATACAACCATTATTTGGAAAAACACTTTTGCAAATAATGGTTTTGACACTTTCTGCCACCAGGGCGGCGCCACTTAGAAATGAGGTGAAATATTTGACATAATGTAAAGGAAAATATTTCTTTGAAATACCCATCCTAAAAGTAGGAAAATTAAAAAGAGAGTTAAAAGTATGCGAAAAATTTAAATAGCAAAGCACTGACGCATTGTTTTACATACTCTAGAAACCATAAAACTCTTATTTAAAACGCATCTTTGCACTTATGGTGAAACTGTGTTACAAAAAGCGTCACCTCAGTCCCAACTGGTGAGCGGAGAATAATCAGCCCACATTCTTTTAAGTTTTTGTACTAGTGTCGACAACCTTCCTTGTATGTAGTTATATTGGTTTCCGTTTCAGTGCACAAGCAACACTTATGCGTGCATGCATGTGGGCGGAGTTCACACAGTATCTTTGCCCATACTGGAACAACTAAAGGAATATGTTATGGCCGATGAAGGTAAGGTTTCTTCTATACAGCGTTAACGGTTCTAAGAGATTGATTTTAATTTCTTTGAAAGGAACAGGAATCCTTGGTGACAGGCAAAATCAAATTCAAAATATTTTTATGCAAAATTGGCCTTTGCATACTACTTTTTATATATTTTTTTCGTACTTCTTGTTAAAAAACTATGTGGTTGCTTAAAAAGTCCCCACTGTGACCTTATGAGAAAAGACCTTATAAAATAGATTTACACATAATAATAAAATATAATAAAAAGCCATTCAGAAGGAAAGTTTTTACGTGGTAGAGCTATGCTGCAGGTAAATTCTGATTGTAGCACTGATGGATTGGTTCGACCAGGAAAGGCCCACGCTCTCACAGAATACCAGCGTGAAACAGCTTAACGCTGCTGTGTTTTGTATGGTGTGTTAAGAATCGGCGATCCGTTTTACTGGAAACGAGGTATTGTATCTTAGTCCACGGGGCTTCTACGGTTCCTTCGACAAGATACGCCGAAAAGTAAGATTAAAATTTGTTGATATCTCGCTTAATTTCCGAGATATGGATGCTAAAAAAATTACTTTTTTTTAAAGGAATATTGACCCAATGTTATTTCTACAAATAGTGGCACCGTAAGAATCGTAGTCGTGCCTATTCCACATTCATTAGGATGAAAAAAATTATTTTAAAGACTCGTGAAGTCTGCCAACACGCATTGGGGCAGTGTAGGGGACATTGCCTTGCCCTAAAATTTTCTCAGAAATCAGAGGAGGTATGTTGTGTATAGGTTGCAATTTTACTTTTACATTACTTTTAACGGTGGTAGAGCCACACGGTAGTTTTTGCTGTTGCACGTTATGGGCCGGCTCGAGCCGGGTTGGTATCACGACCTCACAGAATACCGGCGTGAAGTAGAAACTCTGCTTCTGCGCTTTGTCTGGTGAGTGCAGATGGCCGGAGGCCCAATACCACCCCCCCACCCCCCCATCAACATGGTAAGGGAATTACATCAAAGACTACCCCAGGAGGGTACCAGCACCCCTGGAGAATCCCCCGCTAAGCATCCACGACCATGTTATTCCACTCCTGAGCGTGGGGGCAAAATTCCGCTGAAAACAATAACTGCTCGGGTCAAACTGAGTCAAATTTCTGCAATGTCAGGGGACTTCACTCGAACCTAAACGCCGTCCACTACCATCTCGAGACGGCGAAGCCGGCCTTGCTCTTTCTGGCCGAGACGCAGGTATCCTTTCCGACTGATACTTCGTATCTCTCCTACCCGGGGTACAAATTGGATCACTCCTTTGTGCCTCGGGCTGGATGCTTAAAAAGAAGTATAACTTTCCCTCCAGGTCCTTCAAAAGAGTTATTGCCAAGGCAAAGTCAAAGCACATAGGCGAGCACGAGGCGAGAGAATTGGCGAGAAACTAGTTCGCCTTCCTTCGGGAACCCGTGCATTCTGGTCTCTCGTCAAGGCTATTCAAGAGAATTTCTGTAAGCCATCACTACCATCTCTGCACAGGGAGGACGACTCACTGGCCCACGCCGCAAAAGAGAAAGCCGACCTTTTAGGCTCCCTTTTTGCGTCCAACTCGACTCTTGATGACTGGAGAAACACACCGCCGACCATCCTGCGATGTGAGTGCTCTTTGCCGGATGTGCGGTTCCCAAAGCACTCCTCTCCCTAGACATCCACAAGTCGAGTGGGCCTGACGGAATTCCCCTAATTATGCTGAGGACGTGTGCTCCGGAGTTGGCACCGGTTCTAACGCGTCTTTTCCGGTACTCCTACTCCCTAGGCGTAGTTTCGAAATCATTTAAGACAGCTTTTGTCCATCCGATCCCAAAAAAGGCGACCGCTCAGACCCGTCCAACTACAGGCATATCGCCATCAACTCCTTGTTCTCCAAAATAATGGAATCCATTATTAACTGCCAGCTCATGCGGTACCTTGAGGATTACCAGCTAATTAGTGACCGCCAATACGGTTTTCGTCGGGGTCGATCAGCTGGTGATCTTCTGGTCTACCTGACTCATAGATGCGCGGAGGCAGTAGAGTCCAAGGGGGAGGCGTTGGCCGTTAGTTTGGACATTGCGAAGGCCTTCGATCGGGTTTGGTACAAAGCGCTTCTTTCGAAGCTCCTTTCCTATGGGCTTCCCGAGAAATTGTGCAATTGGATTACCAGCTTCCTTGCAGATCGGAGCATCAAGGTCGTTGTAGACGGTGCATGCTGCGACTACAAGCCTATTAACGCTGGTGTTCCACAACGCTGTTTCTTCTGCATATCAATGATATGTTGCAAACTGGTAACATTAATCGCTATGCGGATGACAGCACTGGTGATGCTCTATACACCGGCTGTGCCAATAATTCTCGGGAAAACGTCGCCGAGTACGGGAACAAACTTGTGTCTGAAGTCGAGTATTTGCTGAACAAAGTCTAGGATTGGGGCGATTAAATCTAGTCCAGTTTAATCCTCAGAAGACAAGTTTGCGCGTTTACCGCTAAAAAGTACCCTTTTGTCATATCTCCTCAGTTTCAAGGCACTCCCCTTGTTGCCTCAGCCAGTATCGGGATCCTCGGCGTTGACATATCGAGTGACGTGCAATTTCGTGGTCATTTGGAAGAGAAGTCCAAATTGGTCTCTAAAAAGCTTGGTGTCCTCAGCAGAGCGAGATAGTATTTCATGCTGGCACATCGCCTGCAACTTTACAAGGCGCCTCACATGGAATACTGTTTCCATCTCTGGGCAGGGACTTCCTAGTGCCAGTTCCTTCCACTTGACCGCATCCAGCGCAGAGCGCCTCGAATCGTCGACGACGGACTCCTTTCCGATCGGATCGATTCATTGGCACTGCGAAGAGATGTTGCATCCCTTTGCATTTTCTTTCGCATATATCACGGAGAGTGCTCTCAGGAATTGTTCGGATTAATCCCAGCCGCCAAATTTCACGAAGGCACATCGCGGCAGAACTCCCGATACCATCCACACCATCGGATGATTAGCGGTCCACCATTGTGCGATTTAGAAGATGTTTTCTTCCTCGCACAACTTCCGTGTGGAATCGATTACCATCAGCAATTTTTCCGGACCGATATGACTTAAGGACCTTCAAGAAAAGAGCCTACACCTTTTTAAAAGGCTGGCAACGCATCTGCAATTCCCCTGGTTTCCCTGTTTTTTTTTATAGAAGAGGGGGCAAACGAGCATGCGACCCACCTGATGGTAAGTGACTACCGCCGCCTTTGAACAACCGCAACAACAGGGGAATTGCAGATGCGTTGCCGGCCTTTTAGAAAGGTGTAAGCTCTTTTCTTGAAGGTTCCTAAGTCGTATTGGTCCGGAAAATTCGCTGGTGGTAATTGATTCCACAAGGAAGTTGTGCGATGGAGAAAACTTCTTCTAAATCGCATAGTGGTGGACCGCCAATCATCCAGATGGTATGGATGGTAACGCGAGTTTTGTCGCGATGTACGATGGTGAAATTGAGCGGCTGGAATTAGTCCGAACAATTCCTCAGAGCACTCCCCGTGATAGATGCGATAAAAAACGCAAAGAGATGCAACATCTCTACGCAGTGCCAGTGTATCGAGCCGATCAGAAAGAACTCGGTCGTCGACGATTCGAACCGCTCTGCGCTGGATGCGGTCAAGTGGAAGGAGCTGGCACTGGGGTGCCCCGGCCCAGAGATGAGAACAGTATTCCATGTGAGGCCGAACTTGCGCTTTGTAAAGTTGCAAGCGATGTGCCGGCATGAAATACTGTCTCGCTCTGCTCAGCACGCCAAGCTTTTTAGAGGCCAATTTGGCCTTCCCTTCCAAGTGACCATGAAACTGCACACTATTCGATATGTCGACGCCAAGCATTCCGATACTAGCTGAGGCAGTAAGGGGAGTGCTTTGAAACTGAGGAGATACGACAAAGGGGTTCTTTTTAGCGGTAAACGCGCAAACTTGTGTCTTCTGGGGATTGAACTGGACTAGATTTAGTCGGCCCCAATCCGAGACTTTGTTAAGCAAAGACTTCAGACACAAGTTTGTCCCGGTACTCAGCGACGTTTTCCCGAGAAATATTGGCACGGCCGGTATATAAGACATCACCAGTGCTGTCGTCTGCATAGCAATGAATGCTACCAGTTAGCAACATATCATTGATATGCAGGAGAAACAGCGTTGGTGATAGCACGTAGCCTTGTGGAACACAAGCGTTGATAGGCTTGAAATCAGAGCATGCACCGTCTACTACGACCTTTATGCTCCGATCAGCAATGAAACTGGTGATCCATTTGCACAATTTCTCGGCAAGCCCATAGAAAGGGAGCTTCGAAAGAAGCGCTTTGTGCCAGACCCGATCGAAGGCCTTCGCTATGTCCAAACTAACGGCCAATGCCTCCCCCTTGGACTCTACTGCCTCCGCCCATCTATGAGTCAGATAAACTAGAAGATCACCAGCTGATCGACCTCGACGAAAACCGTACTGGCGGTCACTAATCAGCTGGTGATCCTCAAGGTACCTCTTGAGCTGGCAGTTTATAATGGATTCCATTATTTTGGAGAACAAGGAGGTGATGGCAATAGGCCTGTAGTTGGACGGGTCTGAGCGATCGCCTTTTTTAGGGATCGGGTGGACCAAAGCTGTCTTCCATGAATTCGGGACTACGCCGTGGGAGTAGGAGTACCGGAAAAGACGCGTTAAAACCGGTGCCAACTCCGGAGCACACACACGTCTTCAGCTCAATGGGAGGGACTCCATCAGGCCCACTCAACTTGCTGACGTCCAGGGAAAAGAGTGCTTTGCGAACCGAGCGCTGTGTAAACCGTACATCCGGCATGGAGCACTCACATCGCGGGATGGTCGGCGGTGTGTTCTCCCCGTCATCTAGAGTCGAGTTGGACGCAAAAAGGAAGCTCAACAGATCGGCTTTCTCCTTTGCGGCATGGGCCAGTTAGTCGTCCTCTCTGTGCAGAGATGGAAGAAATGGCTGACAGAAGTTCCCTTGGCGAGAGACCAGAATGCACGGGTTCCCGAAGGAAGGCGAACTAGCTTCTCGCCAATTCTGCCGATGTTCTTAGTCCTTGCCTTGGCAATGACGCTTTTGAAGGACCTGGACGTGGAATTATACTTATTTTTAAGTGCGCTGGTGTTTACATACTGAGACGTTGATGCGTCAGCCCAGGCCCGGTAGCACTCCTGCTTATAGCGTGATGCTATTTTACGGGAGCAACCAAACCATGGCTGGGATCTGCCTCCGATAGGCACCACAGACGATGGAATAAAAAGTCCATACCCTGAAGTACCACATCAGCAACAGAATCGGCAACAACGCTTGGATCTTCCGACGAGAAGCAAACCCGCCCCCAAGAGTAGGATGCACAAAAAGACCGCATCCCGTCCCAATCAGCTGACCAATAGTGCCAAACACGGCGGCAAGCTGCAGATCGCAACTGCGATTGGAGTGTGAGTGGCACCGTACTCCGGATCAGACAATGGTCCGAAGAGCCCAGAGGGGCATCGACGGAGACCTGATATCCGTCCGGATGAGAGGTCAGCAGAAGGTCCAACAGGGAAGGTACATGGTCTTCCACATCTGGGATCCGCGTAGGCGAAGTAACCAGTTGTGTTAGACCATATGCCAAAGCAAAGTCATAGACAGATCTACCCGCATGATCGGTTAAACGAGAACCAAGCCATTCAGCGTGGTGGGCGTTAAAATCACCGAGTATCACGATCTCTGCGGATGGGACCTGTTGTAGCACGGAATCTGCAGCCATTTGGACGTGGTCGATGAGTCGGTATGTGTCGGCATTACCGCTATTGGACCTATAGAGGCACCCGTAGACGCGGGAATGGTCGTCGCTGTCTACGCGCAGCCATAGGATGGACAGGTCCGTACCTTCAAGACTGCCGAGGCGTCGAAAACAGATGTCCTCTCTGACGTATACGCAAACTCCAGCCCGGGGCACAAAGGAGTGTTCCAATTTGTACCCCGGGTAGGAGTGATATGAAGTATCTGCCGGAGAGGACACCTGAGTCTCGGTTAAAAAGAGTAAGACCGGCTTCGCCCTCCCCCCCTCAGAAATACGCGGGGCAGCCTGAGCACCCACGCTCAGGTGTGAAGTAGTTTGGTCGTGGATGCTCAGCGAGGGATTCTTCAGGGGTGCTGGTACCCTCCTGGGGTAGTCTTTTATTTAATCCACTACCATGTTGATGGGGGGGGGGGGGGATTGGGCCTCCAGCCACCTGCACTCACCAAGCGCAACGCAGAAGTAAACGTCTACTTCACGCTGGTATTCTGTGAGGTCGTGGTACCACCCCGGTTCGAGCTGGCCCATCCGTGCGACAGCAAAAACTACCGCTTAGCTCTACCACTGTTGGTAGAGCTAAGAGAGTACCAGAGTTTGTGTTGCAGTTGTTCATGGGCGGCGGTAGTCACTTACCATCAGGTGAGCCGCATGCTCGTTTGCCCCCTCTCCTATAAAAAAAAACCTTTATTTTTACTTTTACTTTACTGTACGTGTAAATGCCTTAAAAATATTTTACACTCGCAAATTGAAGTTGTTGACCTATGTGTGATATTTAAATTGACTGCTTAGCCACTTAGTTATTTCGATTTGATGTGTATAAAATAATTTTTATTAATATAAATATATATTTAGACAGGATATATTATTATGTATAAATCGTTTCATTAAGTGTGTAAGTGTGTGGGTATTTAGCCAATAAATGATGCCTTCCCAGCGGAGATAGAGAGCGCACTATCGGGTGTGTGTGGTGGGCACAGCTGCGCGCAGCACCTGGTGTGCGCGGGGCGGCCGCCCGCCGGCCTGTGCGCGGCCGCCGGCCCGCAGCCGCTGCTGCTCGTGCTCTGCGCCGACGGCAAGCTGCTCGCCAGGTGCGCACGCACACACACGTGTACACGTATACGCACTCACGCACACACGCACACACGTACATGCACGCACATATGTTTACGCACACGCAAGATCACATGTACACGTAGACGTACACAGACACGAACACGCACGCACTCGTGTATAATAATCACGTACTTGCGCACGTAATTAAACAATTTTATGAAATCTAGCAATGCTATTAGCATTCAAATTTGTTTGTAGAATCGACTACTACGATATATTTTTCCGGGCTGATACAACTTAGGAGTCTTCAAAAGAGAGCCTACTCCATTTTAAAAGTCCAGAAACGTACCTCCAATTCCCCTGGTGTTGCAGTTGTTCGTGAACAAGACTCAAAACAGAGTCCGAAGAGCAATGAACGACTCTGACCGCGTTTAACCAAAAAATTAGGAATACATAGAAAATTGTGAAAGAAGTCATAGGCAGTTAGCCTACACAATCATAAACCCAATATGCCATTAATCGCTTTTTTCGATATTCTAGGCAAATAACACAGTTATCACATTCTTTTTTGTTATAAGCCCACGGAAGCTACTAGTCCCAAATGAACATGGGACAAGTATTTACAAACTATTAACTCTTACCATATTGGGTTACCGATACAGCCTATCAAAAGTCCATTGCTGAAAATAGGCCTCCCCATATATTGCTTCATAGGGTGGATATTTGACATAGTTGTCACGCTCGTCGTGCGGATTGCCAACCGCAGTTTTTTTGCTTTTCTCTAGTTGTGATTAAAAAGATGCTGCTGCCCATCTCCTGGTTAATTTCCCTCTGTTGCTTTTTCTGGTATAGTCTGTTCGCTTAGATATGATCGCCTTTGTGGCACGTACCGCATTTTGTTAAAGACGCCGCCGCGACCCCAACGGTCGCCGCATACACCCGCAGAAAAATTTCACATTATAAAACGAAACGTATTTTATTACAATAACCATAAGAATAAAATAGTATTCTGTTTTATTCTTAGTATAGAAAAACATTTATTTAACAAACACAATAAAAATAATAAAATAATAGCAAAATAATAAGTGCGCTTCCAGGTATACCGACACTATGAATGAATGAATGAATGAATATACTTTTATTGTACACCACAAACAAATATACAAATGTCATAACAAAAATCAGATTATATATGTACAATTTGGCGGCCTTATCGCTACATAGCGATCTCTTCCAGGCAACCAAAGGTGTAAAGGAATACAAATAATGAATAGGTAGGTGGTAGGTGGTGCAATTAAATATACAACATATAATATATACATATACATACACACATACACATGCATACATATACATATATATACTATCTTAGTGAACAGACTATACCCACGGGACGATATTATGGGGTATTGAATAATCTTACATCGGTAATACACGGTAGTGTAGTGTTTAACGTTAATTAGTAATTCTCGCGTTAACTATTGCAAGTAGGCTAAAAATACTTGTGCTAAGAGTAGTTCACAACAGCAGTCTAACGGCGGATTCAAACTCACAACTTTCAGAGTTTGCATCCCCATCCTTAACCAATAGACTACTTTCGCATTAAAAGTTGTCACCTTTATTTAGATTTCATTGTTTTTTTTTTCATTCATATATCACGCGTATACGCCATAGATAACAACACTGGACATTAGGTTATTTTTATACTAGTTTCGGGCTCTCACTTTTATGAAAAAATGTAACGACAGTTTGGAAAATTAATTAGTCACTAACTTTAAGCAAAACTTTACTTCTATTATAATTAATAGAATCAGGCGTTACTTTGCGGAAATCCATTATAATGGGGTTGTTATAAACTAATTTGCTTAATTCCGCGTAAAGGAAGAAAGAAAATGATGTGTCCTGTCCAGTTTTAAGGGGACCTCCCACCCTCACCTCCCACCCTCGCTCAATCGCGCGCACTATACCCGTTGCCGCCAATCGCCGTGTCCAGCGATTGGTTGCGTGGTTGGAGGGTAGGCGGACGTTTCGCAGTAGTCTGTTGTTAATTTCACAGCAAATATCTGCGTACATCAGGTGGTGATTGATCGCATGACGTAATCGCACGCTACGTAATTGGAGCGCGATTGCGTCAGCAAGTTGTATAAATAGCAGTAGTTTCGGCTCGCCGCTCACAGGCTCTGGGCGCATATGGCATCCCCAACCAAGTTCTTAAACATTATCCTGAGCAGGTGTTAACCCGTTTAGCTATTATCTTCAACGACTGCTTCAACCTTAGTTACTTTCCCACTTCGTGGAAAGAGGCAACTGTCATTGGTATCCCCAAGCCAGGAAAGCCTCTCAAGTCTCCAGTCATCGACCCATCAGCCTCCTCAAGGCCATGGGCAAATTCCTCGAACGAGTCATCCTTACTCGCATGAGGCTCCATCTGTTTCCCACAGACGGCGACCCTCTAGTCATCCCCCACCAATTTGGTTTCCGAGCGAAACATTCTTGTCCCCAACAAGTTCATCGTATTGTGGAATATATACTCAGCGGTTTCTATCCTCATCGTCATAAGACCATCGCGATCTTTTTCGACATTGCAAAAGCATTTGGCAGAGTCTGGCACGAAGGTCTTATCTACAAACTCTACAGCATAGATCTCCCTGATCGTCTTGTTCGTCTCGTGGCCTCTTACCTGAAGGATCGTAACTTTCGTTTTAGACACGAATTCACGCTCTCTTCTCAACGCCCTATCAAAGCAGGTGTCCCTCAGGGCTCAGTGCTTGCCCCCATGCTGTATATCCTGTACACCAACGACATTCCCATCCCGTCGAAAGGTGTTCAGCTCTCCCTCTTTGTAGACGACACTGCACTCTACTGTAAAGGTATCTCACTATCTTTCATACGGAACAGGATCCAAAAGTCAGTTGATGACTTAGGAGTTTGGTTCCAAAAATGGCGTATCGATGTGAACCCGGAGAAGAGCTCCGCCGTTCACTTCGATCATAAAGGACGCCGCCTCAATACCATTCCATCAATCCTTACGAGTATGCTAGGGACCCCTGTGCCCTGGCATACGTCCGCCAAATATTTAGGTATCATCCTTGACACGAGGCTCACCTTCGAGCCCCATGTCAAAAGAGTAACCCGCAACGCCCGTTTTTACCTGAGTAGGCTCAACAGTATGCTTGGCCGACACAGTAAAATGTCCCTCCGCAACAAGCGAACCATTTATAAGGTCTGTATACGACCAGTCATGACTTACGCGGGCCCCATATTTGCCCACGCTAATCCCAAAACCATTAACGAACTCCAAGTAGTTCAAAACCTCTTCTGTCTTCGAGCTACGAACGCACCCGGGTCGTTCGTAACGCCGACCTCCATCGAGACTTAAAGCTCCCCACAGTCCAACAATTTCTAAAAACACGAGAACTTCTTCAAAGCCTCAGAGTCTCACTCTAATCATTTCATTCGTGAGGCAGCTTCCTATGCAGCCCCTGTCCCCTCTCGCTATCGAGTCCAAAGACCGAGAAACTCTCTCTCCAAACAAACTTTCGGCCGACCTGAACTGCCTCCTGGCGGCTCAGGCCGACTCTTCTTAATTTTCCTGAGTTAGGCTCCCCCTCAGCGGCTCGTCGCCGCCTGCGCCCCCTTTTCCCTGAAGAGGGTCGCTTCCGATTAGGCAGAAAGGCCTCATAAGCCAATGCCAGTCTCACAGGTGGTGTTTAGTGGGTAGGCACTTAGGTTAGGTTATGTTAGGCGCAGTGAGTCCCACATAACCACGGCAGCCGGCTGTCGTGGTATGCTTAGAGCATTCACCACCTCCCTTCCTCGCTTTCTGGAGGGTAGCCCTTTCAATTGCTTCTGGGCGCAAAAAAGAATTCGCCGCTCGCTTAGCGGCCAGCTTCTGCAGAGTCTATTTCACCTGAGGATGCCTCGTGTAGAGGCGAAACACGTGTCGTATTTTCGAGAGTGGTGTGTCGTGCCTAGTATGGTGGTGCTGGGGATGGTAGTGCTGAGATTGACGGTGACGAATATAGTGCGTGCGATCGAGGGAGGGTGGGCGGTAACTATTGCATGCCCTAAGCGCGATAGGTATATTCTACTAGGGCCTAAAAATTAAGTTTCCAACTATTTGTTGCATAAAATCATATCTAACAATCATATTGTACATATAAATGATATAAAAAGCACATTGTCAGAAAGATAAATGATTGTTGAACTTATTTTTTTTTTAAATCGATTAATTGCTATTTTTACATAAAAAAGTGGTTTTAGTGGCTTATGGTGTAGATTTATCAAGTCCGCATAGATGGGTAAACACGAACTTTTGAAAATATATTTTTTTAAATCTCTTCATTTATAATATGGGAAGCCATGGAATGTAAATGGCAGTTTAATTTTGTTTTGTTTAAATATAATTTTTTTTTATAGGATAAGGGTGACAAACGAGCACACAGTCCACCTGATGGTAAGTGGTTGCTGCGGCCCATAGACATCTACATCTATCCTCGATTACAAATCAAAATGTAGATGCGTTGTCACCCTTGAGGACTAAGATGGAATGCCACATTTCCAGTAAAAAGGGCCTCCGGCCACCTGCACTCACCAAGCGAAACGCAGAGGTAAACCTCTACTTCACGCTGGTATTCTGTGAGGTCGTGGTACCACCCCGGTTCGAGCCGGCCCATCCGTGCGACAGCAAAAGCTGCCGCGTGGCTCTACCACTGTTCAAGCCAAATTTATTTCGGCTGAGAAATCCCGAAATTTTCGGTGTTTTGAGCAGTCTTGTAATAATTTATTTTACTAAATATCTGTGCCTCACTCCAGGCTTGGCCACCGGCGTGAGTATATACTGTATCGCTAATTTGCAGCTACTCGTGCTCAAAAAGACCGCTGTCAAAGACATTACATACATATACATACAACAATTTTTTAAAGAAAACCAGAAAACAAAAGATAATATATAAAATACTTAAATACGTCTTGGACTTCCGTATCTGCTACTGGAACTCTTCAAAGAGTAGTATTAGTAATAGATATGCCGAGT